GAGGTTAGGCAGCTTTGATGGCATGGCTTTATGGAAGTTTCCATCTCCACCGTAGTTAGTCTTATGGGACCATTATTGTATTTGTGGTCATGCGAGACATGACCAAATGTGTGTCTGTACATACATGGGTATGTCTGAATCCATCTACCACAATACACATCCATCTGCACAGGATAATGTGAGTTTATATTGATATAAACCAATTCCTATCCAACATAAAACCCCCTGGCTTTGTTTGTGCTTCCTCCTTTCCACATCTATAACTCCCATCTTTGAGAGTGAAGCACACATCATCCTCAATATGTTCACTCCTTCACTCTACAGGTTCAGAATCACTAACTATACCACTGTGAAAAAATAGGCCAAAATTACAGTTTGATGTTTGGATACCATTCTTTTAATATTACTTTGCAGGTGTATGAAGTATCGTATTAAAGTTACTTGCTAAAATTAGAAGATAATTATATTAAAGCAACTATTATAAATATTAAAATTATGCTCAGAATATAAAAGAAAACATCAGGATGAGGAGGAAATAAATGAAAGATGCAGAAAAATCCAAATAGAACTTCTATCAGTGAAAAATAAAATAGCTGAAACAAGAACACACTGAATGGGATTAATGGGTTAAACACTGCAGAAGAGTGGTGAGCTTGAAGACATAAAAATAGAAATATCCAAAATTAAGGACATAGAGAAAAAGGACAGAACAAAAAGTGAACAAAGTTTCAATGAGCAATGGAACAATTACATGCAGTTTGATGTACATACACTTGAGTCTTCAAATGAGAAGGTCAAAGAACAGGAGGAAAAAAATGAAGATGGCTGAGAATTTTTTCAAAACTTCATGAAAACTATATATCCAAAATCATGAATACAAGCAGAAGAAATATAAAAAACATCATAACAATGCACCTAAAAATCAAATTGCTGAAAAGCAGTGATAAAAAGAAAATCTTGAAAACAGAGAAAAAAGACATTATACCCAGAGGAACAAAGATGTTCCCATTAGGAACTATGCAGATTGACAGACAATGGAACAGCATCTCTTCCACACTGGAAACGAAACAAAAAAACCAATCCCCAGATCACGCAGTTAACCTAGAATTCTACACCATTCATCAGAAATATCTTTCAAAATGGAGCTAAGTAAAAAAATTATCAGAAAAGGTGATTTATGCCCAGCAGGCCTATACCAGAAACATTATAGAAAGTCCTTCAAGCAGAAGAAAAATAATATAAAATGGAAATCTGGATCTACACAAGAAATGAAGACTGGAAATGGTAAATGGGTGAGTAAATATCAAAGACTTTCTAACTTTTAAATCCCTTTAAATGATAATTAGTTACTTATAGCAAAATATTAACAGTGTATTGTCAGGTTTATAATATATGTAAATCAACATTTATGGCAACAATAGATTATGCTTTTATAAGGTTCTTACATTGTATTTGAAGAGTATAATATTGTTTGAAGATATACCATATAAAGTTAAAATGTATTTGAAACTATAACAATCATTAAAAAGTTTTTTAAAAGAGACATGTTACTAAAAAGCCTATAATAGAGATAACATGAAACCATTTCAAAAACCCCAAAGAAGAACAGATGTAAAAAATCAGAGGATACATTAAACCCAACCATACTATAAATCACACTAAATGTAAATGAACTCAATACTCCATTAAAAATAAGGGATTGCCAGACTGGATTTTTAAAAAGATCAAATGCTATACTTTTATGCACTTACTAAAAGAGTCAAGGCCACAATCACCCAGGTGCAATGAGGGTTTTGTTGAAGGTTTTGAGGAGCCACAACAAGAAGTCAGTGTCTGCCCTGCCCAGGCTGCAGTGGTCTGAGTGTTACACAGCCTCTGCACATCCCCTCTCTCCACGACCTTCCTGGTAGCTGGGAGGCTGTTTCTCCTGCTCCCCCTGCCCCAGGTAGAGGCCAATAGACATGGTGGGAAAAGCCACTCTCCATGGTTAGGCAAACTGAGGTTGGTGGAGGAAATGACCAGGCAAAGTCCACAACCTGCCTATAGACACCATAGCACCTGCTTCACCCATTACTGGGGAGGGGAGTGCTGGGACCATGCTCTCTGGGTGGGAAGGCCATCCAAGGCTGGGCAGATGGGGGTGGACCCAAGCCTGGCCTCCCAGGGCATGAGAGCTGAGATGGCTGGCAAGAGCTCAAGGGCATTCTGCATATCAACAGTCCTTCTTGACCAAGGGCTCTGCAGGGACACTGCCCACTCCCGGTCCCTCCCACTCAGGGTTCTACGTTTCTTGGAATGGTTCCAAAGTTTTCAAAAGACAAAGAGGTGCAGTGATAAGGGATTGTCACAGTATGTGAGGGCACAGCACATGACGGACCCCTGGGAGAAGCCTCCAGGGGGCTGGGTGAAGGTGCTTTCTCTAGGGAGACAGGACTCTGTCCACGCCCCAGCAGCTCAGGTTGGAGAGATGCCTCATGCCCCATCCACAGCACACCCTAAGAGACTCCTGGCCCACCAGGGCTCGACACCTTAACAGAAATTGCTCCCCAGGCACTCCCTTCCACTGGCAAAGAAGGGACAGAGGCTGAAGTGCTGTGCTACCCAAGGCCACCGTTCAGGCTGCTTGTGCTCAACACACCAAGATTCTGTGTGGCCCTCGGATGCTCCCCTGGGTGGGGCTGCACCTGGGGGCTGTAACAGGCATGCCCTCTCACGGTCCACATCTGCCTGAGCAGACCACTCCTCCTCCACAGCCCCACTGGTCCCACAGGCCATGGCCCACTCCCATCACTACCCAGAGCCTGCAGTGGGCTGGTGGCAGTCCTGTCGGTGTGGCGCTCAGCCGTCCCATAGCCTCACAACTAGCCAGGTGCAACAGCTGTCACACAAGAAAGAAGCAGAACAGTGGGCCCCTTCCAGGCAGGGGCTACCCAGCTGAGGTGGCCCTGTCTTGCCGGGCCACATCGGCCAGCTGTTTCTAACACAGACTGAAGAAGCACTCGCCCCACACAGGCACGGCTGCCTTCCCCACATGACCGAGGCCAGTACAGAGGGACAGAGCTTTTATTCACTCGTTCATGCCATCAGCCTGCTCTTGGCCAAGCCACAGGTTGAAGGCAGAGGGAGCAGAGGCCACATAGAAGGTCCTTGTTCGGCCCACACAGGCGCCAGAAAGGGACATCCAGGGCAGAGTCCTGTCTGCCAGGGTGGGCGCATGGACACCCAGAAAGGCCCTGCAGTAAATGCCTCCGTTCTCTGTGTCTGGCTTGGACCTAATCTGTCTCCACACCCTGCATCTGCTTCCCTCCCTGACCACAGAGCCCGCTCAGGTATTTCAGGCCTGGTGTCCTGCTCCCTGAAGAACTCTGTCCTCTGCCCACTGAAAAAGGGAAAGGTGAATGGCACCGCACACAGTCCATCCACACAGCAAGGGTGTTCCAGGTGGACCTGTGTTTCAGGAAAGAACAGTTGGAAGATTCATTTCTGATGACACCTTTGTTTTTTTAGCCAAACTTTCCACTTCAGAACCATGTCTCCCATTGTTTTGGCAAGAATAGCTGTTTTCGGTGAGGTTGTTTAGAGGGTCAATGGTGTGGGTAGTATTTTCACTGTGACTTTGAGTGGGAAGATGATACTGGTCCAGATGCTTAAGGAACACTTGGACAGAGTTCTGCCAGGACAGTGCTGACACGGGGCTTTCCCATTCCTGAGATGGACTGTTCTCCTCGGGCTGGGCAGACCTGAACTCAGCTCTGCCTGACCACTTTCCATGTCTAGGAGTACACTCTGCTCTTCTGTCAATTCCTGGCCCAGAGGGACCTTCAGGTGGCATCTATAGAGAAAGGATGCCCCCAGCCCCACCCCCAGATGCTCCCTGGGTGGGCGTGGGGGATGCCAGGCTGCAGAGTGGTCCCTGGGGTGGCTGTCCAGGTACAGGGATATTGGAGGTTGTGCTGCTTCTGGATGGGATGGGGAAGACATGAGGGCAGTGCAGAAGACTGCCTGGTGAGGGGAGTGGTGTTGGAGATGTTGGGGACCACGTGGTGGTGATGCTTATGGTGGAAGGGGTGACAGTAGGTGGTACTGCTGATGGCAGTGTTGGTGGTTCTAGCGAGGACACAGGTGGCAGTGCTAATGAGAAGAGTGATGGTGGTAGATGTGACCCGGGTTTGGTGGGAGCAATGGTGTTGGGATGACTGTATACCAGCCTGTCCTAGCATGTGGTGGCTCAGGGGTCCACTGGGGACCTAGGTACAGAGGCCACCTCACCATGCTTCATCCCCTGGGTGGCCCTCAAGTGACTGGCCCAGCAGTCACGCCCTGGGTACATGGAGCCAGAACTGTCACTCCGGCCTTTTCCTGCACCCCGGGGCTCCAGCAGTTCCCTCTGGGGGTCCTGTTGGACTCCCTGGGACTCAGAAGGGTCAAGAGAAGAAACAGCTCACTGACTCCAGCCAGAGCCCCCCTACACTGCAGCTGGCTTCCAGCCCTGGCCAGGCGGATTTGCTAGGAAGCCCTGAGGAGTGGGGAGGGTCAGTCTGCTGGCACTGGGCCTCCCGAATCAACTGGGGGCGGGGTCGAAGTGGCCTGGGAGGGGAAGGGATCATGGGCCAAGTGCCCCACTCTGGAAACCCAGGCTCAAGGCCGTGTTCCTTGCAGCCACATCGCTGTCAGAAAAGGAAACAACGCGGGGCGAGGGTCATCACCAGGCTCCGGACCCATCTCAGGGTGCATGCTGCGGGCACCGCCAGCGGCAGGGATGCACCGCTCCGCGCGCAGAGGCCAAGGTGGCCTGGCTGCTTCTCGCCCCGCCCTGCCCGCGCCTCTCCCGCCGGCCGCTGTCCGGCCCTGGCCGCGGAAGGGAGGAAGCGCTGTCCTCATTCCACCTCTGGCCGCCGTGGTGCCAAGTAGCTGGCGGCGGCAGCGTGAGTCCGGGCCGGCGGGCAGCGGCCGGGGCACAGCGCCCTCCCTGGCGCCCCCGCGAGCTTGGGGTTACTCACGTAGAGTCCGGAGTGCTCGGCGCCGAAGAACGGGAAGGGCACCGACAGCGGCCGCAGCCCCGAGCCGCCGTCGTCCTGCTTTGGGGTGACGGCGTCGCCGCGCTCGGCGCCGAACGGGTAGAAGTCGGCGAGGGCCACGGCGCCGCGCACCCCGTGCGCCCAGAGCCCCAGCGCCGCAGCCAGCAGCAGCGCCCAGGCGGCGCCGCTCCGCATCGCCAGGTCTGCGAGCGGGACGCGCGGTCCTCGCGGGCTCGGGCAGGTGGCCGCACAGGGACTGGCCAGCCGCGCTGTCGGTGGGCTCCGCAGCCCGCGCGCGCTCCGCGGAGAAGGCGCAGGGCGGGACCGCTATTGGCCCTCCGCCCCCGGGGCCGCGCTTTAAATAGCCGGCGCGGCGCTGCTCGGCGGGGCGGGGCCGGGCGGGGCCATGCAAATTTGTGGCTCTTAAAGCGCCAGGCTCCGCGGGAAGGAGGGGCGCTCAGGGGTCCCTGCCAGTGGTCGCTGGTGCCGGCGCTGGGTAGGACTGGATCCGGAGGCCTAATGGGGGCCCTCGCACCCCTAGATCTCCCCCGGCCTGTGCACTGGCGAGGCGAGAACTTGGCAGGCGCGCGTCCTGGGGCGGGGTGTCCTCTTCTGCGGTTCCCAGGCTCGCTCCATCCTGGGCGCGAAGGATGTGTCTGAGTCCGCAGAGCAATTCGGAGGCACACCTGTTTCCGAAGGGCTGCCCCAGATGTTGGGCCGGAGGGGCAGAAGTCCGGGTGCCCTCCAGGGACTTTGTCCAGGTGACGCGGTCCTGGCCCTGATGGAGCTTCAGTCCTGGACGCTGGCTCCGGAGCCCCCTGGGGGAAGCTGTGCGGCCTCTCCTCTGCACCGGGCAAGCTCCTCCCAGAGTTACTCCGGCTCCATGCCAGGACAAACCCTGGCCCTGGGAGTCCCCAAGGCACAAAACAGTTTCTGAAACGCATAACCACATCAGGGGAGATTTCTGGGTCCGGGTACTCACCAGAAGATGAGTTACTCACGGAGAGTCCCGAGCGCTCAGCGCCAAAGAACGAGAAGGGCATCGACAGCAGCCGCAGCCCCAGCCGCCGTCGTCCTGCTTTTGACAAGATGCCGCGGCAGAGCCGTCCTCCCTGGGGACCAGTTACTCAGGACTTGGGGGCAGGAAGGGTAGGGCTCTCAGCAGCCTCCATATGGAGTCGGTGTTCCAACCCTTCTCTCTGCCTCTGGGACCACTCACCTCAGGTAGTGCTGGCCCTGTCATTCCCTCAGGGCCCAGCCTCGTCCACCTCAGCGTCCCTAAGCCCCATGCAGAGACTGGACTCCTGGGGCCCAGTCTCCACTGTCCTCTCTGTGCTGGGTGATGTGTCCTGAGGGGTTCTCTGAGGTCCTGGCTTGGTGGCTATCCATGTCAGGCTGGCCCTGCGGGCCGGTCCCACAGAGGGCTCCTGCACCCTGCACCTGGGCCTGGCTTGCTGTGTTCATCCCCTGCTTGGTGAGGGGCAAATTGAGGCTGTGCCCGCAATTAGCAGTGGGAGGGTTGGCCCTGGCGCTGGGCTCCTGGCCTTGAGAACCCCCAGGACAGCACACCACCATGTTATGCTTCTCCATATCTCCCTGTGAAGGCCAGGGGGTCCAGGGTGCAGTCCCTATGGACTGGCCTCAAGGGCAGAGCTGCCAGGAGACCAAGTCAAGAGGACATACTGTTCAGACTGTCTTTGTTCTATGAAAGCCTGCCAGTCTCTGTCCCCCTGCCCCCAAATAGGCTTGGGACCTCTGGGAAGTCCTGGTTTCCTTAGTTTTTGTTTTCCCAGGTAGAAGGGCAGCTCCAACCCGATGCAAGACCCCTGGAGCCCAAGGAGCATACACCTGGCTGCCTGAGTCCTCCTTCCTACGGCACCCTCCTCTTCTGCCCTCCAAGCCCAGCCCAGGCTGCCCTGGCTGGCAGCCCCCTTCTGAGCACAGGCCTCAGGACGCTGGTAAAGGCCCATTTCTAGTCAGGTTTGGGCCTACCTGGGGATCCCTGGACTAGGTTGGCCTCCGGGCCAGCACTGGCCAAGAGCAGGGTATGAGTAAGTGCTCTGTGTCTAAGACTGTTCCTGAGGTGCAGGGGAGGGGTGGGCCTGGACCACCTGGAGGAATCCCCCGAATAGCTCTGGGCCTGCCCTGGCCCATCTCAGAGCTGAGTCTGTGAGCCAGGCCAGCAGCAGGCCACGCCCTCCAACCTCTGACCCCAGGTGGCTGTGACCACCGCTGCCCCAGCTTGGCTGACTCTCCCCAGCCTCAGCCCTCTGCAGATTTTTAGTTGGGTCTGGGAGAGTGGGGGTTAACACAGGGTCGTTAAAAGAAAAAGGCCCACAACTCCACAGGCAGAAAAGAAAAAAGTTTCAGGTGCTAAAAATATTATCAGGAAATGCTTTTCAGCAACGTGCTGTTTCAGGCCTCCCTCTGGTCTCAAGGAGGCCTTTGTCTGTGCCACAGAAAGTCCACATTTATCAAGGCCAGGATCATTCTATCAGGCAGGCTCGTGTTCTGTGGCAGGAAACCGGAGCCTACCCCACAGGCCTGTGACACTTTAACTTCAGGCCGGAGACTGTGTGCAGTTTAGGTGGGGAGACCTGGAGTCCACCCTCAGGGTGCCCCAGAATGCAGGGCCCACCCACCCACATCTGGGGGCTGGGGGAGGGTCAGACTGGGCTTGGACAGCTGTCCCACAGGGCAGGGTCTGGGTTGCAGTCCACCCCCAACTTTGCTCCCCTCCCAGAGGTGGTTGGTGCCAGAGCAGTGGGTCCGTCATGTGGGCATGACCCAAAGCCCCAACTCCCAGTCAGCCTCCACCTCTATCAGGAGGAGGCCAGGGAGGTCGAAGGGATGTGGGGTGGGCCCAGCTCCTGAGGAGTCACACCCTGGCCATCCACTTGGCCACTGCCCTATGGGGCTGGCCACTGAGGCAGAGAAGGGAGGGACAGCACAGCCCGCCCAGACCCCCACCCCATGCACAGGGAGCCTCACACCCCAGCTCCCATGACGGGACCTTGCTGTTGATCTGGGGAAATGATCAGAAAGCGCTTGGCATAGGCTTCCTGAGGTGGTCACTGCGGCTTGATTTAGAGAAAAGAGGAGCTGAAGAGGCCCAGCAGGCAGGTTCAGGCCCGGGGCCTTGGCCTTGCTGAGGCTGCGCTCCTGCAGTGCCTAGGTTGTCCCCTCTGTCCACGGCAGGGGGGCTGGCCTATGGGGTCATGCCCGGGGGCCCAGGATGGGCCTGATGCGACATGTGCTCCTCCAGGCTCCACGAGGTGCCTTGGAGTCTATCCCCACAGGGACAGGGCCAGTCTCTGCTTCCTGAGGTCCAGGGCAGCCGAGAGAGGAAGGGCAGGTGGGGAACCAGGGCCCGCTCCATTCTGAAGGCTCCGAAGCCTGTAGCCCTGCTTCTGAGGCATCTTTAGAGACATGAAAGACCCCAGTGGCGGTCACTGGAGATGACCTCCTGGACCAGTGTGCCCTGCCGAGGCCTCACCTCAGGGCCCCTGTGGGACTGGGGTCATGGGTGCTGGCTGTTGCAGGACGATTCCGTCAAAGCAGGGACCTCATGTGGGATGGGGATCCCAGCAGGTTGTGTCACCTGGGTTGAACACCTGTGGCGATGAGGCAGAACGCTTGCTGACTCACTTCTCAGAACACGTCCAGAGTTAAGCCACCCATGGTCTACTTGAAAGCCAGCGTGTTTTAGGAGCCCAAGAAAGCCACTCGCGGTTTCCAGCTGCCTGTTTTCTGCCCCAGGCACGTCGCGGTGGAGCTCTGCCCTGCCTCAGCCTGCGTCCTCTGCGGGGCCCTCTCCCCTCTGCGGTCTGTGGCACCCTCTTGAGATGCCCGGGAGGTGCAAGCCCCCAGGCCTGGGCACAGGCGGGTCTGCTCAGAGTTGCCCAGTCAGAGGCTGATGGGGGCCTCCCGATCCCAGATCCCTCTGCAGAGGCAGCAAGCATGGCCTGTGTCTGGGGTTTTGTGTTCTAGGACAGGAGCTGGGTATCTGCCTACCTCCGGGCCACTGCACGAGTGTTTCCTGGTGTTCCGAAGCCCTGCCCGGTGTGTCCAGAGATGAGTGCCCTAGGGTCCAGGCCCGAGAGCCACCTCCAGGTTCTCACAGACACCAGGAGCCTGTCGGGGTAGAAGCACAGCTCGGGCAGAGCTGGTCTTGAACTTGAAGCTGGCATCTCTCAAGCCACTGCTGAGCTCTTTGGGTCTGGTCAGGGTCAGAGGCCCCCACATTGGGTGAAGCGGGGGAAGTAGGCGTGCCCCACCCCTGCATTCTGGGAGCAGGTTGGTGGAGGCAGGTCAGTGCAGGTCCATCATGGTCTCCCCCCGTGTTCTGGGAAAGGTGGAGGGCTGCCTTCTCCCCTGCCCACTGCCTGCACATCTCAGCCCCTCCTCCCTTGGCTTCCTCTCCAGAGGGGCACCTCTGTGTCTTCCCTGCTGAGCAGAAGCGGGGAGCTGCAGCACGTGCTGGGGAGTCCCGGGCCTGACCCACGTCCAGCCAATGGTCATGTGGCCTTGATCTAGAAGGAGAGCTTCCTACCCCCAAGCCAGGTGCCTGAAGGGCTGCTACAGGAACGGCTCACTCTGACACACTGAGGTCTCACAGCACTGCCAGAGTGTTTCCATGTGGAAGACCCTCTTTTCCTAAATATCTACCTTTGTGTGGAGTAAGTAAAAACAGTGTCTCCTCTGCTGATTTAAATATTTGTTAAACTACAAAGATCTCAGATTCACAGGCACTTTGAATATCCCCCGGAAGCTGCCAGGGTAGGGAGGGTCCCGAGTGGCCAGGGAGCAGACTGGTTGAATGACACGTGGTTTTCTTTTTGATGCTGAGAAGTGACCTAGAGCCCCCACAGCTGAAGCAGGTCCCCTGTGCACATTTCCAAGTTCCGACTCCGCTGGGAGCTTCTGCCACGCGCAGCACCACGGGACAGGAGAGCCAGGCTGCAGGCTGGGCACACAAGGCTCCCTGAGCAGGGCTGAGGCTGCCCGGCCTCCTGCCCCATCACCTCTCTGGTCCTCTGTGGGGGTGTGGCGTGGACGCCGCCCGGCAGCCGAGAGGCACACCTGCTGGCCTCCACGGAGTTCACTGCTGCCTACACCCAGCCACAGCCCGCAGAAGAGTCCTGGGCCGGCATGACACAGGACTACTCTCTGCCCAGAGGAGCCCTTGCTGAGGGGTCTCTGGGGGCTTCCCCTCAGGGCCTGGGCAAACTTCTTAATGGCCACTAACAGCCAGGCAGAGTAGAGGGGCAGAATGAGGCTCCCTCGCTCCTCGCTCCAGCTGTCGGTCTGTGTGACTCACAACACTCGCTGACTCCTGGCTGATTTAAGTGCTGTATGATCTTGCAGTGGACAGACAGGGCCTGCCACACACCTGGGCCAGGGCCTGCCACCATGGGACAGGGTGGCTCTGTCAGCTTTGGGTTCTCCCTGCCTGGCGCCAGAGTCCTTGAGGGCATTCCAGGGGCCCAAGACAGGAGCAGCCCCGGGCAGGCAGCCTGGACCGGTTTGTGCCCCAGAGATACTGGAAATGTACAGCTTACAGCATGAGAGGACCGTCGGCAGAGGACAAGTCACACTGACCAGTGCTAATGGGAAGCTAGTGAAAGAGCCAACAGCGAGCTGAGTGGCAGGCCTAGCCCAGCAGCCTTGGCCTTCACAGCAGAGTCCCTTGAGACTGTCCCTTGCAGTCACAGGCTGGGAAAGCAGGCAGCTTCAGAACAGCTTCCAACTTCACACTGCAATGCCCCTCATGGCCAATGAGTCACGGGGACTGGAATCTGAGTCACTTCCAGCCACCTGCCATGGGGACGGGCCTGCAGTTCCTGGACGCGGAGGTTCCGTGGCCTCTGGACAGGGTGTGGTGCTGGCCTGGCAGGACTGCGGGCTCTGGGCCCTGGTGGTGGAAATGCTTTGCACGCTTCCCCGTGTTTACAGAGCAGAGGGTGGGACCCAGCCTGTGGCTGAGCGATGAGGGCCTGGCCACAGGGGTCTGGCCGGAGCAGTAGCCTGAAGTGGGAAGGGTGTACTGTGGGAAGGGGTGTCCAGCTGAGGCGGAGGCTAGGTCCCAGAGGCAGGAGAACTTCCGCAGTCTGCAGGACTAGAAGTGCTTGCGGCCGTAGGCCCCCCGACACGAGGAGAGCTCTGTGGCTGTCTGAGCCTGTGTCTGCACTGAGCCACCCTCTCATGGGGCACACAGGCATCGGCCTCCCAGCCGTGGCCCTCAGCAGCCTGGGCCCTCAGCACCTCTGCTCGGAGCCTTCTCTGGGTCCGTCAGGGCTGCAGAGCCCAGCCACCCAGGGGTCTGCGGCAGGGCTCACTGCCTGACCAGCCGGGCCTGGCTGAGATGGGTGTGTTGTGGTCGCTGTACTTCCTGGTCCAGCTGCTCCCTCAGGGTGGCCACCTGCAGACAGGCAGGGACTCAGTCAGGTAGGGGCCCCAGGTGCAGGGCACAGAGAGTTCTGTGCAGCCAGGCTGGGCTGGGAGGCCACAGTCCATGGCTCCCAAGGAGAGGAGGTGTGTGTGGGAGAGAAACACCAGGGGAACAAGGGCACACTCAAATGGCAGAGGGTGCCAGGGTCCCCCTAAGGACACCCACTCCAGTGGTGGACCCCTTCTGCTCAGGCCTTGACAATGCTGGGAATGATAGGGCAGAGGCTTTCTTATAAAGTGAGCAAATATGGCTGGTCAGCCCCCTTCACTTGGGGATGGCCCTGGGCAGTCATTTGCTCTCTGGTTCTCAGTGTCCTTGTGGAAAGTGAGAGGTTGACCACATGGCCCTCGGCTCCTGGCAGCTCTGGGCTCTGCAGCAGGCAGTTTGGCCCACAGGCGTGCTGCACAGGCACAGGAGGGTGTGGTGTGCCATGCAGGTGCGTGTACGAGCACCTGCCACACTCCCATCCACCAAGTATGGGTGCTCTGCTGTTCTTCCTGCTGACCCTGAAGGTCAGTGCAGGGCTGCCTCTGCCCAACCTGCATGGCAGGCCCAGTCCTGGCCCTGGACACAGGACTGGCAAGTCTGGGGTCACCTCTGACAGAAACCATCCTCAACTCCACTTTGTAGACAGATGACAGCGGTCCAGAGAGGGTATGACCTTCCCTGGAATCCACAGTCCCCCTCTCAGGGACGGGTGGGGTCAACCACAGCTCTGCCTCTTGAGAAGGTGGACGGACAGAGCCGTGCAGTGGAGGCTTCACGTGGAGGCCATGTGGTCACCCCTGCAGGGTGCTGCTACCAGCTGCTTTCCTCCCATCCTCCCACTCTCCAGGAGGCTGGGCCGGGCCCCACCTGCTCATCCAGCAGCTTCACCTGTTGCTGGTGGGTCTCTTCCCGGGATTCCAGGGCCTCTGTGGCCGGGAGCTGGGCCCCAGGCAGCCTCTCTGCCTCCGTAGCCGGCTCCTGCAGCTGCAGTTCAGCCACCTGGGCCTGCAGGGAGGACACGGGGTGCTGCGTCTGCCTGCTGGAGAGCTGCCCGAATCCAGAGACAAGGCCTGATGGGGGTCCCACCCTTCCTTCAGGCCCACTGGGCCTTGGTGGGCCTCACTGTCCTGCGCAGGGTGCTGGCCCTGGCCCAGGACCCCAGCAGACTTGGTGTAGCACACATTCAGCCCACAAGTCTGGGGTCCTAACCACTGGCCTCAGGGCAGCCCAGTTTCCTCTTGGCCAGGTGGCAGGTCCTCAGGGCCCCAAGGTCCACAGGGGTATCGGGTCCTGGTCCGGGCCCTGCCCGCTGGGTAAAGCCAGGCTTGGCTCCCAGGAGCCCACACTGGTCGCAGCCTTCCCCAGGGGACTTTTGATACCTCAGGAGAGCAGGGGACCTAGAAAGGACACTGGCGGGGCCCCTGGAGCCTTGGGTTCTGTCTCCAGCTCTGTCTGGGACCTCGGTATGATCCAGGTGGCCCCACTGGGGTCTGGGTTTCGACTCTGCCTCTATCATGTGCAGCTTTCCCGAGCACGGGCGCATCCAGTGCCTCCAGGCAAGAGACGGGCACGGAGCCCAGCCCAGGTTCACCCCAAGGCTGCAGTGCATAGGACCCCAATGATGCAGCTCACCTGCTGCTGCTGGTTCTGCCTTAGGGTCCAGTCTAGCTCCTGGTGCCGGCTGAGCAGGGACTGCTGCAGCTTCTGCTTCTCAGCCCCCAGCCTCGCCATGTCCCTCTCCCTCCTCAGTGGCCCCCACACTGTCTGCAGGGGGAGGGTGCAGAGCTGGTGGTAGGGTGTAGTGGCCTCCTGGTGGGGATGTGAGGTCAGGCCACTTTCCCTTGGGGGAGCAGGAAGACACCTCTGGCAGGGCACTGTTCCCCACCTCTGTCACCACTGACATCTGTAGCCAGAGTAGCTGAGAACAGGGCCCAGTCCCCCTGCTGCTGAGTCCCTATTGAGACCTCTGCTAAGGTGGCATCCTAGGACCTCTGTCCCGGTTCCTTCACCCAGGCCTCCTGAGCTGGGGTCCTCATATACCCATGGCCTCTGTAGGCACTTGACCCGGAGGGCCACGCAGGTACACCCTGGACCTGGGCACAAACCTCAGCATCCCCATCCCAGGCTGCCGTCTCTTGGGCTGCAGCTGCCCCAGCAGAGGCCTCTTAGCCACCCACGTGGGAGTGGGGCAGGAGGAACTCCTGCAGGTTGAGGGTCAGGAGCCATTTCCCATATGAAGGTGGGTGGGCCACCCTGCTCCGGTAATGGAAGCCGTGGAGCCTAGAAATTCTCTCACTGGGTGGGAGGGCAGCAGCAGCAGAGAGCCCTGGACACCTTCCTGGTACTGCTATGAAGGAAGGGATCCCGTGATGTTGCTCCCCAAAGCCCGGACCTCAAACGCTTGCTGGGCCAGTACAGGGCAGGAGTGGAGGGGACAGTCCACTGCTCCTGCAGGACTGCCTGCTGGCCCACGTGCCTGGCAGGGGCCAGCAGCATGGAGGGCCCACCCAGCCCTGGCAGGGGTCCCAGGCCCTCCCTTCAGTGTGGGGCAGAGTTGGGGGTGGAGCTGGGGGTCTCTCAAGGACCCTGGGATAGGGGGGTGGTCTGCCAGAGGGCAGTAGCTAGAGCTCTGTACAAACAGCCCTCCTTTTCCTCGGGACTGGAAAACAGCCCTCCCTGATGGAAAAAGAAAGCTGTTTCTTTAAAAATCTAGTAACAGCCCTGGAAGAGCATGTTGTAAAGAGAAGAGAAAAGTGAAGTCCAACACAAACACATGGCCACATCCGGGTTTCCCCTCCTGAGACGCCAGTCAAGGTTTTATGGGTTTGTGGGCCCTCTCAGCTGACCTCCTGGAACTCATTAGCTGTTCCTTTCCTCCCCCACCCCAGCCCTGGGGACCCGCAGCCGGCACAATGCCCACAGCTGGCTTTGCTGCCCCCAGGCACCGCCGTAGCCTGGCTGGACGTAGCTCCACCCTGACCCCACGGCACCCGAGGAGACTCCCCAGATCCACAGCCTGGGCTGGGCCCTCCCATCGGCAAGAGCGGCAGGATCCCGACTGGGCCTCACTGCTGTGCCTCCTTCATGGAAGGGCAGGTGGCCCTCTGTGTGGGCTACCCCGACTGTCCTGGCCACTGGCCTCTGCCCCTGGGCGGGCTGTGTGGAGAAGGGCTGCCCTGGCTTCCTCAGGGGTCTGGGGTCCTGTCCCACAAGTGCTCCCCCCTCCCCGTCCCCTGCACTGCCTCCCCCCTAGCAGCCTGCTCTGGACTCCCTGTTCTTCAGGCCCTGTCCATCCCACGCGGGCCTACACCCTGGCCCAATGCGTTGGCCAGGTCAGCCTGGTGGACGGCATGACCCTCCTGCTTCTGCAGTGCCTCAGCAGCACAAATGGTGGGGACAAGGACGGTCTAATCAGGCCTGTGTGATGGAGGTCAGCTGGGTGGTGACCAGCCACACCCCTGGTCCGCCTGAGCTCTCCTGGTCTTATGGTGCAGGCTGGCCTGTCTGATGGGACCCAGAGGAGGGCAGTGGTCCCCTTGGGCGGCAGCCAGGCTTATGAAGCCCACCTGGGCTGGCTCTGCCTGGTCTCTGTGGTCCCATCAACAGCCGAGGGGGTGGTGTGCTGGTCAAGGTTTGGGCAGAGCTGAGGCACAGCCTAGGGGAACTGCCACGACCCCTGGTGTCTCCCCAGAGAGCCAAGGCAGGGCAAGGGCGACACCCCCAGAGGGGCCACTCCCTGAGTTGGTGCCGTCCCCATCAGCAGATGAGACACAGAAGCCCGCGGGACCAACACCCTTCACGGCGGCCCCGGTCTCCGCGGACCTCCCAGGGCTGGCGGCACCCCGCACCTCGCCACCCTCACCACGTGGGCACTAGGTACCTGCGCCCGGCGCGCGCGCAGCGCCGCGAGCTCCCCCTGCAGGCGGGCCCGCTCGGTGCGCAGCGCTGTGGTCGGCTCCCGCCGGGCGCGCCGCTCTGCGCGCTGTGCCGCCTGCTCCCCGCGCGGCCGCCTCCGCAGCACCTGGGCGGAAGAGGCTACTGACGCCAGGGCCGGGGAACCGTGACTCCCAGGCTTCTAAGAGGTGGGCATTCTGTTTGACGCTGGCCCTGGGCTTGGCCTCAGTTTATGCCCACCCCCCTCCCCGCAAACTGTGCGTCCATCGCTGACCCCTTTACTGTGCAGCAAGAGAAGCAGCCCTCCAACTCCCTCCAGACTCGGATTCCCCACCTGTCACCTGGGCATCAGATGCCATCTGGGTCACCAGCCCAGGCTCCTCCCTGGTGCGGCCTGCAGTCTGGTGAGGGTTTGCTGCCTCCTGGTGAGGGCCTACTCTCCCTGCTGGGCCTCACCTGTCGCACCGGCTCCAGGGATCCCTCCTGGCACCTGCTCTGCAGACCAGCCAGCTGCGCCTCCAGCAGCCTCCCCTTCTCTTCCAGGCCCTTCCTGCTTCCCCCCAAGGCCTGCTGCAGTGTGGTCACTTGCTCCTGGAGGGAGGGAGACACAGGGCCCACCTGGAAACATGGGGTGGGACACCCCAGGGAATGGGTGCCAGTGCATCTGCCCTGTGCCCTGCAGGTCTGAAGGCTGGAACGTGAACAGCAGGAGCAGGTCAAGGACAACGGCACCTGCTGAGTGGGTGGTTGGTGTGGCCAGGGAACCTGGAGGAAGCCTGGCCAGCTGGCCCTGTTGGCTCTGCCTGGGCCAGAACCTGGGCTCCGCGTGCTCTCTGAAGACTCATCTCAGTATCTCCCTGGCTCAAGTGTCCCTGACCTTGGAGGACAGAGCAGTGCTCCTCAGCCTGATGGAGCTTGTCTGGCGGAGCCTCTGCCCCCACCCCACCCCTGGCTCTGCCTTCCTGCCCTGAGGAGTGTCCTGCCTCAGCTCTTGCCCTGCCAAGCCCACGGGCAGCCCCCATCCCTCTCTACCCCACAGGCAGCAGGGACACCGCTGGCCCCAGGCAGCTGAGGAACCAAGATGGCCTGTGACTCCTTCCTGCTTCCCCTGCACCCACTCCCAACCCCAAGCTCCATTCCCAGCCCCTCTGCCTTCCACCTGCCCAAACCCTCACCATTCATATGACACCCGTGATGGCCTCTGTGTCCACTGCCTCCAAGCCCACCTTCCACAGTGGCCCATGTGCATGGCCGCGACACCTCCCCAGAGCCAAGTGCCAGGACCCGGGGCTCTATTACTCCCACCCAGGGATCTTGGCAGGGAAGAGCCAGCCAGGGCACAGGCTGCTCCCCAATCTTCCACGGCATGATACCCCTCCCAGGTTTCTTCTAGGGACCAAGAAAGATGGGAGGAGCACTGGGGAGGTGGGGTCTCTGGAGATGCCCCTGACAGGCTGTTAAGAGGGCCTTGCTCATGAAGCTAGAGACAGTCTCAGTGCCAGCAGAGGAGACAGGGGTCTCCTTGAAGGTCCTTTACCAACACGAGGAAGCGAGGCCACCAACACCCAGACCTGTCCTAGGGTCTTGTCAGTGGCCCAGGCAAGTGTCCCCAGGCTCCCACCATGGGTGAGCACCTGGCTTTGCCCTCAGCCCAGCTACAGAACAGGGCTGCTCCGGGGAGTCCTCACCTGGCACGGTGGGATGCTGTGGCCTAGGGGGGTCCAGGGAGTCCTGGTCACCCCGGCCTCTGCCTGTCTGTTTGCATCTTTGCCCGCTCTGCAGCAGCCGTCCTCTGGACTCGCCGTGGCCAGCCCTGAGATTCTGCCTGAAAACTTTCTTGGAAGATTTCCAACATCTATTCTTCCCTATAAACTGCAATCAGTGGGCCCCATTCCCTCTAAATAAACCACAGCAAATAGCCCAGACCAAGGCAGACCAGCAGCCAGCCTACGGACAAGGGCAGGCCGGGACAGGAGAGGAGACCGTACCGCCGAGGGCGGGAAGCCACCCAGCCAGGCTTCTACCGTGTCCCTTTCAGTAACCCTGAGTTAAGGCAGAAGGAAAAGCAAAAATCCTGGAAAAGTGGCAAAAGGGGAAAGTATTCATATTAAAAAAACCTACGGTCACACACCAGCCACAGTCCTCCCACAGAGAGTCAGGAGGATCCAGGAAAGAGGGCGTGCAGAGGGAAATGCTGGGTGAAGGCAGAGCGGAGGGGAGGGGGCAGCAAGGAAGCACGTGCCCTGGGGGGGTGGTCAGAGGAAGAGAGACCACCCAACCTGGGCAGGAGGAGCTGGTGGGAGCCACACGAGGTGCCAGGTGACGCAGGCATGCCTGAGCCCTGGTCCCCACAGGAGATCAGGTGGACCAGTGCAGGACCAGAGCCAAGGTCCCTCAGGAGCAGGGCTGGCTCTAGGGGACGTGAAGGGCTGCTGGGGCTGGATGTGGCCTGCTCGGGCCCAGGGAGGGAGGAGAGCTGGGCAGGAGTCAAGGAGCTGTGATCTGGCTGCAGCCTGCAGGTAGTGCTGTGGCCTCTCCCCGGGGCCATAGCAGGGTGTGTGTGGGCAGTGCTGGGCAGGTTCCAGGCCTGCCCCTGATCAGAGGCCCGGCCAGCTGTGGGCAGCCGGGTGCTGGGCCCAGCAAGTCCCCACGCTGTGGGCTTGGCTGTGTGCTGTTGTTCTGCTGGGTTCCCAGGGTAGCCTGGGAACGGGGAAGGTCTCTCTCCAACAAGAGCCGTACTGTGTGCACAGCACAGCCTGCCATTTAATTAGAAAAATATGTTTTTAATTAACTTTCTCTTGACAAACACAGGGGTTCATGTGAAAGGGGGTGGGGCTGGTGAGTGGGGACCAGTCGTGAAAGTGAAAGAAGCTGTGTCAGTGCAGGGCTTGCTCCAGAGGACGGCTGCCCAGGGTGTGGCAGAGCCAGGAGGGCACCAGGCCTGCTCTGCCAGAGTCCAGTAACCACGCGACCTCAGGGGGGTGCTGGGCAGGGAGTGCAACCCTCGGGCCCTCTGCCTGGGCCTCGGTCAAACCATGGGGTCCCAGTGACTCGTCGATGGTCTGAGCTCCCTCTCTGAGGCCCACCACAATCTCAGCAGGTCACAACCCCTGGGAAAACCCCCTTCCAGCTGCAGACCAGGGCTTCAGGGGGTCCTGGGGGCACTGGAACTACTGTCCCCGAGAAGTGAACATGCTACTTGCCAGATTCATGGAAGTGCCATCTACAAATGTGGTTGGCATACGTCACGAAAAATGAGAGAATTCCACGTGGAGCAGAGAGCAAGTGCCCAGAGCAGGTTCTGTTCCCGCTGAGGAGACCCCAAGGGCAGCCCCAGGACCTGGAGCCTGGCTCAGGAGGGTGAGGCTGGGGGCAGCAGGTGAGGGGCCAGGAGCATGGAGAGGGAGGTGCTCCCAGCTGACCCCCTCACTCTGGCTGGGGTGGGGCTGCTCCAGTGGGCCGCACTGCTCCCCACGCCTCGGATCTTAGAACCCTGTTTGCCTTTCCTCTGGGCCGACGTCAGGACAGGGCAATTCTCGTCCCTGCAGGTCCGTCCCCAGTTCATCTGGCACTCAGCAGATCCTTCTTAAGGACACCCCAGGGACAAGTAGCACCCAAGAGGGAGAGTCGTTGTCAGAACTGGCTCTGGGGTTCTCAGGGGGCCGCGGGAGACCCCTGAGGGAAACACTGGGCAGCCACTTAGAGTCCAGCCATCAGGCCAGCCAGGAGGACCGGGAGGCCTTGGTCTCAGGCTGAGAATCGCAGCACGAAGCCCGGAGGAGGAGAGGCTTGTGAAGTGGCGTACTGGAAACAGACCACCACAGACAGCAGAGTCACAGGAAGAAAAGAAGAGACCAACAGTTGGTGACATTTTTAAGTTTCAAAGAAAAATGGGCCTCTGGATCCCACTCTGAAAAGGGCCCGGGAGAGGGAGGTCCAGAACCCACAGGCCACGTCCCCTGGGCCCACTCAGTGGGAGGCAAAGGGCGAATCCTGAGCCTGGTCCTGGGGGCAGCTCTGCCCACCTGTGTCCCCAGGCCTGAGGCCCAGCTGCCGGGCTGCGCTGGAGCCAGGGCCCTGCGGCAGGGCGAGCCCTGGTGTGATGCTGAGGTCACATTAGGTCCCTGGACACAGACCCCTGGGGCAGGTAAGGCTGCCGTCTGCTGCCAAATTAGCCAGGGAGAGAGTGGAGCCTGGGCTTATGAGGGACAGGGACAGTGGGTGTCGAGTGTGCCGGGACTCAACCTGGGGACCAGCTGGTGACACGGCCACGAGAGGCCCAGAAGCCCTCACCCAGGAGCTGAGTCCCAGAACCTCAAGGAACCAGACTTTGCCAACACGCGGATGGGTTTAGGGACCCTGCCCAGAGGTCAGGTGAGCCCAAGACTCAGCCCCTCAGCTTGCAGGACGCCCTGCTGAGGGCCCCTGGGCCAGGCCAGCTCCTGATGGTGGACCCAGGGAGAGCAGCTGCTCAGCGGTTGGGGGTGACTCCATGGAGTGTGGGCTGCAGTGGGCAGAGAGCCCTGGGGGTGGGGTTCAGAACTCTGCACTCGGAGGGGGGCGGGCAGGGGGCACAGGGCCTCCCGAGGGATGCTCTGGAGGAAGTTCTCCTAGGAACAACAGCCTTCCGCCCCCAGGACACAGCCAGAGAGGGGCGTGGGAAGTGTCCCGGCCCAGCCAGGACCCCTGAGCATAGCAGCACAGCAGGTCACACTAACACTGGAAGACAATGCTCTCAGCCCGTCAGACACCTGGACCCCAGAGGTGACCAAGACAGAGAGAAGGAGGCCTGTGGGTCATCGCTGGAGGGAGAGGGAGAGGGAGGAGGGAGGAGAAGGAGGAGGAGGGAGGAG